TTGGCTGGCACCCTCTCATCCTTTCCTCCTCTTCTGCATTGTTATTACGAGTTCCCTCTCCCTTTGCCCAGAAAATGGACTGGTAGTCCAGAATTAGGATAGAAAATTTCCAGGATGCCATCATGGAGTTTTTATTCTTGTTTTCAAAACCTACACTTTTGTTGAATTTCAAAGTTTTATATTTTTTTATGGCATTATGTCCCCAGGTACATAGCTCAGAGCCTGGCGCAAGCTGGCATAGGGCAATTAACAAGTTGAATAAATTCCGGCCACATTTGATACAATAAAAGACCTGGAAGCCCATTGGCCATCTTTGGGTCCAACTCTGAACCACTTCAGTCTGCTCTCCCAGAACGAAATCGGCAAGATTCTGGCAGCTGTGAAGCCTACCACATGCCTCCTAGATCCCTGCCCATCGCGGCTAGTTAAAGCTTGTGGCGATGAGGTGTGGATCCCCCCCACGAGGGAGATTATCAACTTGTCCCTTTCAACAGGGACTTTCCCAGGGGGATTGAAGGAGACGGTGGTTTGTCCTCTCTTAAAAAGATCATCTCTGGGCCCTACGGTCCTCAGTAATTACCGCCCAGTGTCTAATCTACTGTTTCTGGGTAAGGTAATAGAGAGGGCAGTGGCAATGCAGCTCCAGACTTTCTTGGATGATGCTAAGATCCTAGATCCCTTCCAGTCCGGCTTTCGCTCCACCCATGGGACAGAGACAGTGTTGGTCGCCCTGGTGGATGACCTCCGGAGACATCTGGATCGAGGCGGATTGGCACTACTGTTGGCAGCATTTGATATGGTTGACCATGATGTGTTAACCCACCGCCTCACTGATGCTGTGGTATGGGGACTTGCCTTGCAGTGGCTAGCTTCCTTTCTCCTAGGTCGGGGACAGAGGGTGGCGCTTGGGGGAGAGTTACTCCAGCAACACCCACTGGAATGTGTTGTGCCACAGGCAGCAATTCTCTCCCCTATGTTATTCAATATCTATATGCGCCCCCTCACCCAGATTATCTGGAGGTATGGGCTTGGGTGTCACCAGTACACTGATGACACCAGCTCTATCTACTGATGGGCGGCTACCCGGATATGGCCCCTGGAGAGCCGGTGGAGGTGTTACAGGCTGTGGCTGGATGGTTGCGTCAGAGCGAACTGAAGTTAAATCCATCTAAGACGGAGGTCCTATATTTGAGTCGTATGAGACTGGGACAGGGGATTGGGCTCCCAGCCTTCGACGGGGCTCCACTGGTCCTGATGTTGGCAGTAAAGAGCCTTGGGGTGTTCCTGGATGCCTTCCATACCATGGAGGCCCAGGTCACTGCCACTGCCAGGTCTGCCTTTTTTCATCTGAGACAGATCAGGCAATTGACCCCATATCTCACCTCCCAGGATTTAGTGACAGTGATCCATGCAATGGTCACTTCCAGACTGGATTATTGTAACTCTCTCTACATGGGGCTGCCCTTGACTCTGCTCCGGAAGTTACAGCTAGTGCAAAACACAACAGCATGGGTGTTGACAGCAACGCCTGTGTGGGCGCACGTCTACCCAGTGCTGTGTGACCTACACTGGCTGCCTATCGAATTCCAGATCCGGTTCAAGGTGCTGGTACTTACCCTCAAAGCCGTATACGACCAGGGGCCAGTACCTTCAAGACTGCCTCTCCCCATATGAGCCCCGTAGAGCACTGAGGTCCACCAAACAACATCTTCTGGTGGTGCCCGGCCCCAGGGACGTCCGACTTGCCATGGCCAGGGCCTTTTTGGCCATGGCCCCTGCCTGGTGGAATGAGCTCCCATGTGAGATCAGGTCCCTGAAGGATTTGTTACAATTCTGCAGGGCCTGCAAGACAGAGCTCTTCCACCGGGCCTTTGGTTGAGGCAGTGGGCGTTCCCTTCCTTGGGTTCCTCCATCAGTAGCCTGGGTTCTTTGAGATCCTAAATTTTAAGGATCTCCAAGCAAAAACGTAAATTTAACAACATTAACCACTGAGACATCTGGTTCTTCCTAGAGTTGTATTATGCGATGCCGTATTGTATTTTAAAATGTAAATTGTGCTTTAAATTGTTTTAATTGTATTGTATTTTATTGTTGGAAGCTGCCCTGAGCCCATCAAGGGGAGGGCGGGATATAAATCCAATAAATAAATAAACATTCAATGATGTTTCCACTGCTTAACGTTTTCTACATACAAAGAAGTGAATCAAGTATCCAGGACTGATACTGTCCTTGCCACAAAATTTCATTCCATACAATCACAGAATAGTTGACCTTCCAATAGAAACCACTTGTTGTTGTTCTCATAAGTTAATAATGTGCCAAAAAGACCACTGACAATATTCCTAGGTTTTTTTCTTGTTGCGGACTGTCTTCTTCAGAGTGCATCAAAATCGCTATCACATATCAATATCACTGGAACCATTAATATTAATCTAGCCAATTCTATACTTATCAAGAAATAACAGTGTGTTTTCTCCTGATGCAATTGGCTAAATGTTTAGCCAGCTGCATCAGGAGGAAAGATACTGTTATTTCTTGATAAAACATAGAATTGGCTGGATTAATATTTGTATGTAGAAACATGTTTAGCAGTGGAAACATAACTGAATATTGAGTATTTTGCTTCCCAGTTGTGTATTAATGGAATATATGTATAAAATGTGGAAGTTGTTGCAAGATTGTGATGTTACAAATAAGAAATACAACAATACACTTTTAATTTAAAAATTGAACTTTATTATATATTAATTGTGGTGGTGAATGATTCATACACAGCATTCATCTTGTGATTTCTACTTACTATACTGTGTCCTTTTATTTTTGTGAATACTAATTCAGTATAAGGCAGCTTCTCATGAGGTACACAGGATTTTGGTGGAATTTATCATTGTACTGATTTTGGTTGCACAAATGAACGTGTGTGGGTGAATATAGCATCTTGGCTGAGTTGATGAACCCTGTTTGCAGATACAATTGCATATTTTTACAAATAATGATCAGAATATGTTGTGGGGGGAGTAATAAAATGCACGTCTTAACTGGAATAGTCTTAACTGTGATCTTTAAAAACATTATTATTACTTTTACATCAATACGCAGCAGAGGCTTTTATATTAAAAATAACAGCCACCTACAAAAGCCACCATCTGGTGGTGCTGTTGGTATTAAGAAAAACTGTTGTCATTTGAAACGTAGTACATGGCAGTGAAAGAAAGAAATGTGAAGTGCGGCCTTAAATACAATAAACGTTTAGTAGATCACCAGATATTGGTGGGCGGATTATCCGGGTGCGATCACACCCCAACATCTGGGAAGTGGAGTGCACCTGTGGCTTACTGCCAACAATGTGCATTAAAAAACTAGTACCTCCAAGGTACTAGTAAACATTTGCCATGGGCTGCCTCCAGACGCCCATGGTGTGATCTCGCTTGTGCATGGCATTCCCCTCCGGTCCCTTGTTTACCTGCCGGCGCTGAGGGAAGGACCCGTGGTGTGCCGCTGGCGCATCTGATCGTGTAATCGTGGATCAAACTGCGCCGGGGCAATTAGCCACGCTTCCCCCCCGCAATATCCGGCCTGTGTGACCGGGGCCTTTAAAAAACAACATCTGGTTTGTGACGGGACATGGGCGAGTGCCAGATGCCACGGGATTCCAGTGGAAATGCGATCAGATGCCCGCCCTTGCCCCGTGTTTTCCGGAAACTAGCACATCATATGTACTAGTTTTTACTTCGTATCTTCAGCAAGAAGCCATGGGTTAGCCATGGGTACACTACGCTTCCCAGATGTTGTGGTGTGATCGCACCCGGAAAATCCGCCTATCATCCGTATCTTTAGCGCGGCAAATGCTCCATGTGAATGGGACCTAACTAGCATATATAAGAGAATGCCTGTTTCAGGCTTGGGAAGGACTGTACTGGCTCCCTGTTTGGTTCTCAGTACAGTTCAAAATGCTTATTACCTTTAAAGCTACACATAGACTAAATTCAAGATGCTTCGAGAACTTCTTGCTCCCATAAGGTCCTGCCCATTAACTAAAGTCTTTTGCAGAGACTTTCCCCCATTATAGTTGCTCTTAAGCATTTTATTTATTTACAGAATTTATATTCTACCTTTCTGTCCAATCAGGGGCATCAAGCACCTAACAATTAAAAGCAGAATTAAAACCAATTTAAAACCAAAAGTAAAATTCTTATAACCCGCCCCCCACAGAACCAGCAAATAAAACATGGGACAGGAAGGAGAGGTCATGACAGAATGCCAGCTGAAAAAAGAAATCTTAATCTGCTGGCAGAAGACAGTGAAAGAAGAGGATAGACAAATATCCCTAGATTAGGATTTGCCTTGGATTGCTGGGAAAAGCTTCAAGGGCTGGGCAGAGAGTTTGTAGGATATATTTTAAAATGAAATAGTACTCTAGAACAGTTTAGCTATTAGACTAATTTTACATTTTGTCCCATGATCAGAATGCAAACACACAGCTCATTCATACAACAAACAGTGGAGTTTACTACAGTTCAGGGGCAGATTGGCCATTTAATTTACAGGGAAATTTTCCAGAGCGCTGCTGCCCTAGACGCCACTAGTGGTGAGGAACAGGTGGCACAAGCTCCAGCAACTCTGCCAATGTTTATGGGGCCGCTTGGCTCAAATCCTTCATTGGCAATGATGATCAGTTTCAGAGCACCAACTACCTCTTCCTTTCACTGTCATCATTTTGCAGGATGAGGCAATGGGTGAGCCAGTGCCCCTTGTTTGTAGGGGCAGCTCTACATTGTAGCTCCACAGGGACTACTCAGTTTGGCTTGTTCCAAGGCCATTTCCACAACGCAGTATCATTAGTGCTTTCTATGGCTCCAAGCAAACCCTCCCACACTTAATATGCTGTACAAATGAGATTTTGATTTTATTGGCATGGTTGAAAAGAAATGATCATATAAAATATTTTTTTATATATTCAATGTGATTGAACCATAGAGCAAAGTTTCATTTTTAATGTTTTAAGAATAGTTAAACAAAGAGAAATCCATCTGGTAAAGCACCTTGAGCTTCTCTATGTTTTTCCAGCTGATTTGCCTCAGGTACTTCCAGGTGATATTCTCATTAGTCCGTTTGTCTGAACTATACATCTTGGTATTTGGGTAGTACAGATTTTCTGGAGCTCCAATTCTCTTGAGAACTTGCTTGGCATCTTGCACCAATGTCTCATACTTTCCCAGAATGTCATAATGAATGTTGCAGGGATCACAGAGTGCAAACATTGGCTTCCAGTGTATGTCCAAATCCTTGTGTTTCCTTGTCACAACATACTCTACAAATTCCTGGAAAGTCACTCGCTCAGTGGAATTTATGTTCCTCCTGAACAAGGCCCTGATTTCATCTGCCAATACAGTGCTAAAGTAAGGCTCATTATGGAGGAGCTTGTCCCTGTATGCAGATACCAGTCTTTCAAGCGGATGCCTGGTGAACATCACCTTAGTGTAGTTGCTCAGGAACTCCATTTGCTGTTGAGAAGGGTAAGAACTCAATCTCTTCAGAAATCTAGTTTTGTGGATTTCAATTTGGTCTACTTCAGAGGGGTCTCTGCCAAGGTTGAGTGTGAGGAGTAGAAGGATTTTCTTCCAGTTGGAGCAGCCAACTTTGGGTACTTCGCAGTAGATCACCCTCAGACTCTGTACCACAAAGAGCTGTCGGGCAACCTTATTCTCCAGTCTCCATTCTGAACTTGAGAGAGTTTTATTCAGGCAGGTGATATTCAGTTGATCTCTACGGTCATTTTGTCTTTTAAGCCATTCTTTTTCAGGATCTAGAAGAACAGTTATGAGAACAGAAAAATTACACCATGGGTGCCTTCACACACACTAAATTATGCACTTATAACCCACTTTTAATGCTCTTTGCAACTGGATTTTGCTGGGTGAAATGGCAAAATCTAGTTGCAAACAGTCGCTGAAATGGATTGAAACTGGATTATCTAGCATATGTGAAAGCACCCATGTGTCTGGATGAAATTAATTTGTGGTTTTTTTAAAAAAGCACTGACTTGCATAATGAGTGATAATGAATTAAGGGGCTGGTTCATTTTTATTACTCATCGATTTGATGGAGTTAGTGATGTCAGCAGACCATTCCTTTGTTAGTCTAATTGCTAGTACTAGATGATTGGCTAGTGAGAGCTGATTAAAGGAGATGGCTTCTGATGGCTGGAAATCTCTTGCCTTCAGAATGCAATGTCCATCAGAACTTGGAGAAAGTGAAATCCCTCCAGCTGAAGGTATGGGGCTAAGTCATAGCAAAAGGCAGGTTAAGTCAACAGAGATAAGCAGGGAGAGAAATTGAAGGGTTTCTAGAGTTCGTTGCAACTGGAAGAGACACTTTGCAGTTACCCTACAGGAACCTGCTCCCTGCTAAAGGTATGCTTGCTTGCCTCTACTGTGCTTTGTTGCAGATACCACAAGTCTCCAGTACTCTGCTCTTTCACAGAAAATAAACTAAACCTGGCAGCACTGCCCTTTGAACATTTTTCTGCTATGCAAAAGGAAACATCTAGCACCATATATGGCAACATCTTACTTCATAAGTTAATGGTCTTGCAGGCAGCACCTTTTTCATGATATTGGGTTGGCTTCAGTGTATTTTTTCTGCAGGTGTAAGGACTTTGCACATGCAGAATGACTTTCTTAGCTCCACCTCCCAAGCCAGCCCAGATCCTCGTCATGGGGGCTCCCTCTCCCCCAACATCAGAATTCAGGGGCATTTCGGGCTGTCATGGTGGGAAGAGCTGGGAAATGTACATTACGTGGGCAGGAGTCCCTGCACCCATGAAAAATCTGTGCTGGATCCAACCCCTTATTATTTATATAGGCTTTTAAATGGAAAAAAAAGTATTTTAAACTTTTGATAGGCTTTAGTTGTTGTAGATTTTCCATGCTGTATGGCCGTAGTCTTGTCATTGTAGTCCCTGACGTTTCACCAGCAGCTGTGACTGGCATCCTCAGATGTATAATACAGAAAGATGGAGTACTCTCTATGTCAAGGTGAAAAGAAAAATGGTAGGCAGGTAATTATATATACTCATGAAGGTGGGGTAGGCTGAGTCATTATCTTGTAGGAGTTCCCCAGGCTGTGACATGCTAATGGAGGAACTTTCCTGAGGAGGTTCTTTTGCATATGGATTGGTTGTTGAAATTCTAATCTTATCTGTAGTGCTATTGTAAGATGTAGAGCGTTTTGTGTTTTTCAGGACAGGAAACCATGCCCTATTTATTTTTAAAGAAATTATGTTTATGAATTATGGCTTCCCTGTATAATCTGACATGGTAATTGGATGTGTTGTCCAGCCTTTCAGTGTCTTGGAATAGGATACTGTGTCCTGTTTGAGTTAGGCTATGTTCAGCCACGGCTGATTTTTCAGGTTGGCCCAGTCTGCAGTGTCTTTCATGTTCTTTTATTCTTGTCTAAATGCTACGCTATGTGGTCCGAATATAAATCTGTCCACAGCTGCATGGTTTCTTGTCTACTCCCGCAGAAGTGAGGGGGTCTCTTCTGTCTTTTGCCAATCGTATTATCTGTTGTATTTTTCTGGTGAGTATGAATACTGTTTGTAGGTTGTGTTTTTTCATAAGTTTTCCCATCTGATCAGTGATTCCTTTGATATATGGCAAAAACACGACTGTTTTTCTTCAGTTGTTTGTTTTACCTCTGGTTTAATTGCTCTTCTGATTTAATTCTTGGAGTAGCCATTTGCTTGAAGTGAGTGGTTTAGATAATTTAGTTAATTGTTGAGAAAGTGCGGTTCACATATCTGTCTTGCGCAGTCCACTAATGTTTTGATTATGCTTCTTTTTTGCCGAGGGTGGTGAAAGAACCTCCTCAGGAAAGCAAAAGAACCTTTTCAGGAAAGCTCCTCCATTAGCATGTCACAGCCTGGGGAACTCCTACAAGATAATGACTCAGCCCTACCCCACCTTCCTGAGTAGATATAAATTACCTGCCTACCATTTTTTCTTCCCACCTTGACATAGAGAGTACTCCATCTTTCTGTATTATATGTCTGAGGATGCCAGTCACAGCTGCTGCCGAAACATCAGGTACTACAATGCCAAGGTCATGGCCATACAGCCCGGAAAATCTACAACAACTAGTGAACTCCGGCCGTGAAAGCCTTTGACAACATATTTTGATAGGCTGCCTTCACAGCACCACTAGAGAACTGGGGAACCTTTGGGGGGGGTGAGCCTGGACTTTGCACTAGGCCAAAGCCATTCAGTGAGGGCTGAAACAGATAAGATGAAGATCACACCTCTCTGACCATCCATGCAATACAAAACACATATTGTTTCCTTTAAAATATGAATTTCAAAAATGGTAGACTGGTTCCAAATATGAAAATCAAGTGGAGGTTGAATTTTTTTTGTTGCTGTTGTTGTTAAAACACCAACAAACCTTTGCAGAATTTATATTTTGCATTTGACGGATGGGCTGAGTTGAGTGATCATCTTATCTGTTTGAGCCCTCAAACAAGCAAGAGCACTTAGTTGGCCTGCCGGCCTTTAGAGTTAGTCTTTGTCTGTGTTAAGTACAATAAACGTGTGCTACAGTATGTCATCGTCTGAGTCCTCCATGCGGCGAACTCAGTACTTTTCAAAAGGGATGATTAGCTAAAACTGAAATTGGTCTTTTTGGGGGCTTCAAATATTAATTCAGTCAGGCTCTTTTCCCTCAACATCATTATCCCTTCTGTCTCACCCTTCTTTTCCGGTAGCCAGTTATAGAACTTCTGCAGAAGAAAAATCCCAAAGAAACTTCCAAAGAAAAGGAAAACTAACAACTTCTGAAACAGCGTCTTCATACTGATTTCCCAGCAAGCCAAACGTTGGAGCCTTGGCAATGAACTCTAGACAAGGAAAAACATTGAGATAGGCATTTTATAAACAGGACTGCACAAATATGCCATTGAACTGAATTACTTTTAACTATCAGGAGTAAATATAAAGAAGTATGTTCCAGAATTGTAATGACTTTCTTCTCCTTAGTGACATTTTCTAGGACATATCTCTTCACAAATACAATTCCTTTGAGAAAGACTAAACAATACGTAGGAGATCTGCAATCAAGATTTCTCCTATCCCAGAGCACAATATAGCCAGTTTGGTGGCGTGCCTGCAATGAAGCTGCAAGAACATCTTATAGGATGCTTATGCATAAATTTAATTTATAGACAAACAAACAAATAAATAATGAAGGAGTGTGGCTGTCGTGGGTACTGGCTCTGCTGAGGCTGACAATTCCTCAGATGAGGCATGGAGCAACCCAGCCTCCTCTGGAGTCAGCCCAGAAGAGGAACCTTCAATAGCACCTGAGGGAGAAGGGGCCCCAGCAGCTACACAGGACTTGCAGCCAAAAGGAGAGACTGGTCCAGAGCCTGGCCCAGCACCCCCAGTTGAAGACACCCCAAGGCCAGAATCCCCACCAAGTTGGGATCCCAAGTCCCCCCGGGGGGCGGGGTAACCCCCGCCCCAGAGGCCCGTTCCCCGGCTGGATTGGGCCCCGGGGGGAACTCCACCCCAACGTGCGCATCACCCGGAAGTGACGCGAGCACACCATGCACGCTGGGGGTGGGGCCACAGCCATACAAGGGAAAACTCTATGGTTTTCCCTTGTATGGCCGTGGCCCTGCCCCCAGCGTGCCTGGCGTCCTCCCGTCACTTTCGGGTGACGTGCGTGCAGCGCGTGCGCACACACACAAGATGCTGGCCGGGAGCCCCCCGCTCCCGGCGAAGATAGACTTGGCAACCCTACCACCAAGTCCTCCTGAGTGCCCCAGATGCAGGGCATGCCAGAAGCTGAATATGCAAGAGTGAAGGAAGAGTGCCAGGCTGCAGCTCTTGCAAAAGCAATGGGAGGAGCTATGAGTCTTGGCAGATTGACTCCCAGGGAAGGGAGGACATGTTCATAAACACCCCATGCACCTGCCTCAGCATGATAGCAACAGTGCAAGCTCAGATCTGCTCCTGGCTTGTAGCAGCCACTCCTTGCTCCTGCAACCTTGGACTGATTTCCCGGCTTTCTGACCCTTGGCTCTGTTATTTGACTTGATTCCAGACTACGTTTCCAGTGTGTGGTCACCCTGGTAACTAGCTGAGCCAGTACAGCGGCAGGACCGGGCACCTCCTGGACAACCTGTAGCAAGCTGGGTAAGGGTCTCGATTCCATTGTTCCTGTTCCCCCAAGTACATGCTGGACTCTCAAGTCAGTTCTGTAAGAGGTATTGATTCAAACCTTCATACAAAGGAAGGGCAAAAGAGGGCCAGTTAACAGTACCCTTCCTGCCTCATGGTTCACTCGATCCCCTCACGATTCCATCAGCCACACCCCAGGAGTGTCTGGCTGCTGCTTTTAATCCTTGCCTTAACAAGCACCTTGGTGCAGCTGGCCTGTCACCCCACCTACTCCCAGTTGCTGCTAATAGTTGCTGACTCCCCTTCCTCCAGGTTCATTAGCCCACACTGTTTCCACCGGGGGCTTGCATTGTCTTTCCCAGACCTATTTGTCCATTCTATCACTTCCAGCAGTGCCTCAGGGCTTTCTTTATGAGGTGCACCTTCTAGCCTCAGGTAAGTGGATGCTCTTGTAGGGTTGCCATATGTCAGAAGCAACTTAACATACCCACACATGGTAGGTTCTCTCACTGACCTATCCCTGTCACAAGTAGTATAATTCAAGGGGCCAAACAAGTTCATGTAAATGTCGTTTACAAATACATAATGACATGTATCTTACATATGCAGGGAAATATCCTATATCATGTACTTAAAGCTAACACCAAGGAAAGTTTCTGCCCAATGATTCAACTGTGGGAGGATCTGCAGCAAGAGCAGAGTGTCCTTGTGAAAGCCCAGGGTCTAATTTTCCTAAATGGTTGACTTTATACTAGTAGGTGATTGCTAATAACTTTTCTTTGTATGTGTTGTATATCAGAAATAAACCACTGCAGTGGATTTGTTATCACTGCTTAAGAAGGTGCTGAAAAGTAAACCTAAACTCACTGGGTTTGTTGACCTTACTAAGCCTCCTCCATTGTCACCAATGGGATCTGTGATAACAAAAAGTGGATCAGCTGTCTATAGCCTTTAAATATACCCTTATATAAATATTTTCTAGCTATACACACATCCTGAACGTTTAAATACATCATAGATATTTTCCTCTATATGTAACTATGTACATGTCACTAATAACAAAGAACTAGTGGCTAAATCATGTCCTTGGATGGACAGCATGACCAAATTTGCATCTTCCACTTGTCAGGATTGATTTATGATGTCAAGAGAGAAGCCATCTTTTGAGTAAAATTCCACTTGATTTTTTTTCTCTGCACTGCCCAACCAACAACAGGTGTTAGCTATCCCCCCCCTAATCCACCACGGCCATTTTCTAGGCCTACTACGTAATTAGCTCACTGGTTTCAGCTGGAAGAAGCTGAGCAGTTGAAATATGCTCATCTTCCAGGAGGTCCCTTGGAGACAGCATGATGATTGGTTGAAGGGGGTCAGGAGGCATTTTTCTATAAAATATAGTCTATTCAACCAGGCTATTCCAATCCTATTCCCCTTCCATCACTCCTGGTACCTCCTTTTGCTATATGCTACAACTATAATACATTTTCTGCTTGTTTTGAACTGTTTGCTAGAACTTTAAGAAGTTAAGAACTGTTCTGCAGTAAGTGTATTTAGGAAGTTAGTTTTGTTATTTTCTGTGTGCTTTAACAATCCACTGGAACTATGTTGCTTTTAAAATCTTTTTCTTTATTTTCTTTCCAATTTTGCTTTGCGGCGTGTTGCTGTGAGTTCACTGGTTCAAACCCAGGATAAGCTTCGTTATTTTATCATAGAGAGGCATGCTCTAGGGTCTCTGGTTGGAAACAGGGGAACAACTCAGCTTAGAGGGAACATTGAACACCAGCCAAATTTCCTTATATCCCAAGCCAGCCTGACCAAATAAACATTGGGGGCACACCCCAATGTTGTGACAGACCCGATGCTTCTTGCACATTAGGTCTAATTCTAGAAATGTGTTCAAGGATATGGACCTTGACAGGTCTAGTAAATTACATTTGCATATGATACAATAGATGGTGTTTTAGGAGTTGCAATTGATAAAATTTGACAAATTTCAAGATCCTAATCCTTTAGGATGCTGAAATACTTTAGTCTCCAAAACTAATGGGCATGCTAAACACCCTTTCCCACATCTGAAATGTTCAGAAACTGGGGGTAAAGTCTTAAATAAATATTGAAAATCAGATTTTACTAAAAAGTCACCCAGATTTTTGGTTCTGTGAAAACCCACAAGGGGTTTCTCTAAGCAGCCTGGTAGCTAGGATGTACCAATACTTGTAAATAATGTTTCTAATAGGATGAGCTAGCAGAGTATAGTGAAAAATACATTGAACACGTAATACAGAACTCTGTTGTTTCTCTGCTAGCAAATACTTACTGTCTTGAGACTCTGCTCTAAGTGTTGTCTGGTGCACTATCCTGGTAGGATAACCTCTCCTGGTAAACTGATGAGACAAAACTATAGCATCCTTCACATAATCCATAGAAAATGTGGAGTTTCTTTTCAAATGCAAAAATTGCCCACAAGGGATGTTGTTTCTAAGTTGTGGAGGATGAAAGGATCAATAGTTAAGATAGGTTTGTGAAAGGTCTTAAAGCTGAGTTTACCCAAAGGGCCTATGGTAAACAACTGAGAAACTTCAAACTGTAACAGGAGCAGAACAGCCAGGGAGCAACTGGCCTGAAGGCAGACACTTAAATGGCAAGAAATAAACAGAGTGAACTACAGATAACACCCAGGTATCCTGGACGATGGTCTCCCATGCACCTGAGAAAGCAGCTAGTCTAAAGGTGAAATAAGGTGTGAGGGCAGCAGATTCCACTAGTCATTGGTGTGGCTTACCCTTAACAACAGACTCACTAAGAAAATGTGGGGCCTGTTTGCTATGCTGCTTCCCCTGGTGTTTTCTAGGAAGCTGTGAGGGCCCCAAGGGGGCGGAGATGCTTCTCCAAGGCTGCAGGCAGAGAGAACTTGGGAGCAGAGGAGCAACTGCTGACAGAGAGGCAGTCCAACCAGAAAGTAGGAACCCACGCAGCAACAGAGGAACCGGTGGACACCAGCACCACAGCAGATAGAGGCTGTAAGGATGCTTCCATAGTGATGCTGAGAGAGCCTGGAGGTAGCATGGGCAGTTGCGCAGAGCACAAGGATACAAAGGCAATAGACTTAGCCTCACCAGAGCCTGATCTGCCTCTTGTGGGCTGGACTCCTAATAAAAAGGACTGATTAGTGGGTGGACATTGGGGCTGGAGAGGTTTCACAGGACTATTGTGGGGAAGGATTGGGGTATAGGAGTAGAAAAGGGGCTGTCTAGGTAGAGGGGAAGTCAGGCCTCTGGCCTGTGAGGATGAAGGAAGGGAAACTCCTGGCAAAGCAGCTGGAGTACCCCTGGTCTGAGACTCTTGAACTGATGACAAACCTCCACAACCTCAACTTCATCTGAGGACTCAAGGCTAGCCACCAGAGTTGGGGGCAGCAATGGAGTCTGGGGATGAGGCACCCAAGGAACTTAAGCCTTTGAGGGCAAGGAACACTTGGCAGAGGAGTCTTTATGTCTAGACAATTTTAGTCTTCAACTTCTTAGATGGTGGTTTCGGTGAACTCCTTGGTGCTGGGGCCAACTTTGGAGCCGACGCAGTGCCCGTTTCTGATAAGGATCCTTAGGGTGCTGTCTCCACTGAGGGAGTTGGGACTCAAACCTGTTCTTGACCCTCCGAGAAGGCTGCTCTTTTCTGGGGACCCAAGCACTCACTCCTATAGAAAGTTAGGAAGCTCTCTCCTGATGCACCTTCAGAGTATACTGGCAGCAGATAGCGCAGGCTACTATATTGTGGGATGTTAGAGAATGAACTTGATATTTTGATTTATGGACTTATATTTATTGCTACACACAATGGACTGTGCACACACACACATAGGCTCAAAGAACTGTACACTTTAAGTCACCTGTTGTGATGCAACACATAGAAGGTGCCTGCACAAGCCTTACACATGAATAAGGTTTCAGCTACACAGTTACCAGCCTGGTGAAGAAGCACACACCCCCATTACTGTGAGCAGTAAGAAACAACAACTTGAGCAGAGACAGTCCCCATTGCAGAATTACTTGTGGTCACGTACGAAGAGATGACTCTCCAGCACAGCTGTCTTATCTCCCTATTGCAAGGTCAGTATGTTTTTCCCCCAGCAAGGCAGACAACACCCCAAAGCAGGCCGCAGAAGCCTGAACCAGACTTTTGAATCAAAACTCCATTTTGAATTAACCAAAACCTGTGACAGAAGGGGCGTGCACACAGAATATTCCTACACAGTTGTAAAAGCAGAAGATCCCCAGCCCCACCTGGAGGCTGGCAACTAGACACTCAATGAAATTGCTGAGCAGTTGGGTTAGAACACGTAAAAAGAAGTATTTCTTCACCCAAAGAGTGATTAACACATGGAATTCACTGTCGCAGGAGGAGGTGGTGGCTACAAGCATGGACAGCTTCAAGAGGGAATTAGATAAACATATAGAGCAAAGGTCCATCAGTGGCTATAGCCACAAGGTATAGATAGAAACTCTCAGTCCAGGGCAAGTGATGCACTGTATTCTTAGTTCTTGGGGGGGCCAACAGTGGGAGAGCTTCTAGTGTCCTGGCCCCATTGATGGACCTCCTGATGGCACCTGGTATTTTTGGAGCTGTTTTCTATGTACCAACATCGAAGTGCACAGAAAAGTTCACTTCCAAGTCTGCATTGTTAGGCAAAGCCAGGTATAGACTATGCATTAATGCTGCAGTGTTCATAAAAAGTAAGTGTGATTCATCCCCAAACCCTCTTCCCTATTAATCTAAATGTCTCCTTTATATTTTTTGCAGAATTTCACTGGTCTCTGCTTGTTAATGTTCTGTTTAACTTTATGCTCTTGATTTACATTTATGATAAAATAAAGGGTTCATTTAGATCAGGGATCCCCAACCTTTTTGAGCATCATTGGAATTCTGACACAGGATGGTGGGTGCAACCACAAAATAGCAGGGAGTTACATTAGATATAATTCTAATAGTAACTTTTCAACATTTCAGGTGGAAGAACTATTTAGCAAGGTGCCTTTTTAAATAAACATAGTTTTTGAAAATATTTTCTTCAGTGCACATAAGCTTACCTACAATCACACAATAAATATCCTTGTGCTTATTGGGTTAAATGTAAAAAAATCATTTGCCTTGGACGCACAGAAGCTTTACACGATATCCCTGATCCTCCATGTTTCCCAGTTAAGGGGAAAACACTATTCAAACAAATTACAAACATGATCTGACTCCAATGGTAACAAGAGAAAGGAATTTTACTTACAAAAATAGGAGCATATCTTACATGGCATAATCATGTAGGTACATTTAACTTACTGTGAACAGATTAACTTCCAAAAATAGGTTAACTTGCTACAGCTCCAAGCCCAGGTAAGAGTGAGAAGAACAGAGGTCCCATGTAAGATGAACCAGAAGGCAAGCAACATGTAAGATGAACCAGAAGGCAAGTAAGGGCCAAAGAGGCTCAGCATCTAACCTGGGAGAGGGTGGGGCCAACTGCCCAGTGTACCCGAGTGAGAGAATTCTCTTAACCCCTTTCCTTCCAAATTCTCTTGTATGCAGCTTTACAATATCCAAAACCATCTGCCACCACAACATTTGTAAAGAGCTCCACAGTCAATCCAACCTTCAACAGCCAGTCAGAAGCCCTGCTTGACAAAAGCCCAATCTGCCTTTGTCTACATACTAAGAACCATTGGTGGGCATGAGGAAAAGTGTCGGTAGGCAGCCAATGTTCCCTCTAAGCTGTAGAGTCTTGTGAGCAAAAATTCTACTTTGTGAGCTACTGGCATTAAGGTTGTGAGAGAGCAATTTGGTTACTGCATAAATTAGTTTGCACTGGAGCCATCCTTCTTGAGCTAGGACAAAAATGTGTGAGCCAGAGGCTAAAAAACTGTGAGCTAGCTCACACTAACTCAGCTTAGAGGGAACACTGGTAGGCACCATGGTGCCCACAGGGACCAGGTTGGGGACCCCTGGTTTAGATGAATGTAAATAAAAATTGCAAAATTCGCTTGGCTAAAATATACAATGTAACATGCAATGTAAGCAGAATTCCATCTCACCACCACTTACCAGACCAACAAAGACTTCAGTTTCCAAACTGTTCCGTGAGTGTCTATGACTCTGATTCAACAAGTGCCAAGGGTAATTACTTCATTCATACAAATGTAGCCCAATGAATGCAATTGGAAATAGTCTCCCAAAGGAGTTTCAACTCATTTAGGACAACTTCTAGCTGGCCCTTCCAAAAGTACATACAACCCATTAAATAATTCTGTATCAACAGGCTTGTCCTCCTTCAACAGTCATAGCAATGTTCCACCAACTCATTCAGCAGCACAAATCCACGGAATAGGCTAACCACAA